CACAAAGTACCATTCCATGTCTAATCAAGGAAAGAAGAAAACTGCTATTCTTCACTCCACCAGAACTGAATATATATCCGAGCAGTGTTATAGTTAGTAACTTTATTTACGCCTATCGTTGATTTTGTGCTTCGTAAAATAGCTGCTCGAAGCTATGATGGATCCATGGGGACCTATTATAATGTAGCCGACTAGCGCACTCATAAAGCGCTTTCATAGCTTTTCATTGTTACAACATCATTATTGCCGATCACGAATCTCTTGAGTGGCACTTAAGCGTAGTCAATTCTCCCATACATTGATGGCAGCCCGTTGGACATGTAACTCAGCATCTTTTGATTTTTACTTCGCTCAAATCGCTGCCAGCTCTTTAATAAATCCACCAACAGTAACGGATATATTTTTTGGATTTGGTGATTTATATGGACACTTGGGACACAAAGAATGCTAAAAACAAGCAAAACGAGCCTCAGCCGTGTAAAAGTGTGAAGCGCAAGCGCGTCACGCTGTCTTCACTGTGTTGAATATATGTTCCATTCCATATTCTAACGTTCAGTACATGTTTTCGAACGCTCGCATAAACTGCTACGAGATTAGAACCTTCATGGCATAAGTAAAGAATGCGGTGACTATGCCTCATAAGATTGCAAATGAAACACGACAAGATATTAGTGGTGAGAATGGTAGTCAAATAAGCGTCGTATCGCTCGAGGGTTCTATGAAAGACAGTAAAATGAACTTCGTCAATCGTTCCTCTGAAGGCATGCAATGATTACTTACGTACGACAAAAAAGAAGGTAAAGATGTGCAGTCAAGGGAGAAAATGGAGAGGAAGTAGCGAAAACGCTAAAGTTAAAGATGGTAGGACAATTTGGTCGCAGATGGTAGGACATAAAGGTCGCTTGCTGAAAATGAAAGAAAGAGCTGCTGAAAGGTGCGGCAGCAAAGGAAGACCATGGGCGTTAACTTAGTTGGAAGGAGGAGCATCGTCACTGCAGCGTGCGGTATGTTCGCACTGTTTACTAGAGAATGAGGAATCCGTGAACCAGGAAAAATGTAGGCAGTTCAGCAGGAGATGGAAGGTAAGGCAAGTCATCTAACGTGCATGAAAAGCTGGAATATGCGCATTTACACTATCTCGCAGAGAAACCGCTGACATGCCGCGGAGACGACTGCCCCCTCTCTTCCCCAGCTAATTTATCTGAATTAATACTATAAGAACTAAGAGAGATAGCCCAAAATCCGCAAAACAAGACCCTTTTTATCCCCGTTCACTTCTGCATTGGGCGAGTCACATCTGAGATCATCAACGTGAAAGCGTTGCTCTGTCTTTCTGCTGAAACGGCTAGAATCCGACTACGAAGATCCAACTGAGGCAGCCAACGGTGGCGTAGACAGCCGCGAATGGAATTCACCGCTGCGTGCGAGAGCCGTTAGGCCGCTAGGCACACCCTCTGCAATAAAGTACGCCTCACCCTCTCCCTTAACGGGCCTGCCTCCTATAGTAGATACATTTCCCTTTCGTCGACTTCGAATTACCACCCGGCTTTGAGGGCCTCCTTCTTACGAGGAGGACCTTTACACAGCGAGGCACTGAGAGTCAAAGAAAGAGCTTTCAAATGAAAGGTCGCGATCACCCGCCGAGAACTGGTGGAAGCCTACGCACTAAACTACAAGGCAAGAAGCCTTCGCCGTGCACTTCCAGAACAGCAAACCTTGCAAACTGTCTATACTACTCACTGACAAAGATCGGACTCAACTGATCGCAGAATGTATCTGGCAATTAAACCTACGACCAAATTCATTCCACTTAATCTTCCCGTTTGAGCCATTGATCTATATCTCTTGGCCAGAACTTCGCTGATCCATAATGTCTTTTCTGTGAACACATTAGAGAACAACTGTCGCTATAAATTTTAAATGAGTTTTACCCTCTTCTCACATGCATTCAGCAAGATGACGGAAATTTGAAATTTCCATCTGATTATCATTACATCCTCAGTGGATTCACTCGATTTCGAGCACTGATTCCTCATTCAAATTATTGTGATAGACAACTAAAGAGATTTAATCGCACTGATCACACTTACCGCTCATCATTTAAATCCTTAACATAATAGTCATCTGTCATGTAGGCTTCCACGGACCCATCGTCTTCGCCATTCATACCTAAAAAACTCAAAACGTAAACACATTTTGATCTCTTCGGGTTCAAAGGATTAACGCGCAGCCAGCTCTCAAAGTCACGGGCGAAGCAACGAACAAATGTGACCCGCTTTCATACATTTTCAAGACCATTTTCAAGCCCCTTTTGGGAGTCATGGATGTCAGGATCTAAATACTCCAACGACGGCCCTTCATGGCTCCTGCTACGCCAGTGGGTGACTTTATGAGTTTGGCATAGATGTATGCAGCAAAGATACCAGGAGCGCAATCAAAAACAAGCCTTGAGCAGCTGAATGAGCCGCTGTGAATGCCCAATTAATTTGGAAACAGGAATTTCTTCCGATGCTCACAAATGACCCACAAATTCCAGTTCTAGGGTACACAAAGTTTTTGCCTCACCCAATAATTCCGCCCCGAGAGAGGCGTCGTCTCAATACTAAATGATCTATACATACTGATAAATCACAAGAGGTTGATAAAATAATCCTTCATTGCTAATTCAATCAAAGAAAACAAGAAAAAAGTCATTATGAGTATCGCTGTGGCAAATCTACCAGTGAGAAAACAAAATGAAAACCAAATTCGGACAAATCATCTACAGTACCATTCGTGACACCCTAATGACAATTGCAGAGCCCCGTGTCCTAAATCATAGTGTCGACGATTAGTGCAAAATCAACCAAGTAACAAACATGGTGAAAACGAGAAAACCAAATGGCTGAAGATGTCAACATCAAAAATAAACATTGTCAGAATGTTCGAGGAAGTTATGAAAAAGTATTGACCCTAAATAAGATACATGAACATGGCAATGTACAAGAACCGACTGTGGACTCAAAATAGAACCATCCCTGACCACTAGAGCAGTTGCAGCTAAATAATGAAATATGCATGTAGAATATAGAATGAAGCAAAAGTAGATTATCTTTGGGAAGCATGACTCCACTCTCAGTTGAATCTTTACCCTTTATGTAAAGACATTTTTATCGTTACCTAGTTCACTAATCAAGATCTTTAGGGGAACATGGGTCACCATCGGTGGACTTTAGGTACGAAAAGGGGCGTGTCGCTCACAATAGGAGTCCACCGCTTTGAACAATTGCTTCGCGATATACATGGCAAACAAGAAAGGCGTGAGCCCGTGGAAATGTAACAAATTGAGGGGAGGTGCCACTTCTTGTGCTGCAAAATTTGAGTGCTCGAATTCGTCATGAACCGCTTTTCTCGTACTTAATGCTCGCATCCATCATGACCACGCCTAATGGCTGACGGTGAGCCAAACGGGTCTCTTATCTACTTCAAACATGAAATGGTACCCTTTACATAAAGGATAACATGACACCGAGACCAAAGCCACAGGATTAAATTCAGGCTATTTGTGAAGTGATTTGACGATTGGTGCCTGCTCGCAGACAAAAATACCACAGACCTGAAATAATAGGATTTTTGTAACTTTGTTATATCAGTAAGTTAACATTAGAACCTTAGAATATTCGCACAGCAAATTGAAACTTGTTCTCGCACTAGCGACAATTGGGGACGTGTGGCAACAGGGTCACTGTGCGAAATCGCGCCCGAATGCATTACTAAGGCTGCTTTCATACTTCGCGCCGGTGCGGTCGGTGCAGTCGGTGCCGACGGCGCCGACCGCACCGACAGTGTGAAGAGCGTCAATACGCGCTCTGGCGCATGACGCGAACGTTGGGCGCAGATCGCGCGCTCCGATCGATAATCCTGGTTTTGGTGTATTTCTTGTCTTTTCGATGTTTTTTTTTGTGTTTTTTTTTGTTTTTTCGTGTTGCTTTTATTCGTGTGTTATCTGCTCATACTTATTCTTTTATGTCTCGTTTCATACTTTTCAGTTGTTCCGCGGACGAGCGACTTCGTAGAACCCCGTCGTACTACCCCGAGTGAAAGCTATACCGGGTGAGTTCATCATAAGCAATTTTGTTTTTCGTGTTTCCAGTAGTTGCTTTCTCTTCGATACGATTTCCTGCTGGTGTGCGAATAATTAAATTACCAAGATCCGGCGGCCTTTCGCACACCAGCAGGAAATCGTATCGAAGAAAAAGCAACTTCTAAAATTATAGAGTCCACTCGAATAAACAAAATTGCTTATGATGAACTCACCCGGTATAGCCACTTTCACCCGGGGTAGTACGACGGGTCTACGAAGTCGCTCGTGAACAACTTATGCTTGAGGGGGCGGGGCACCCGGCGCGCGATAAGTATGAGCAGATAACACACGAATAAAAGCAACACGGCGCGAAAAAAAACATCGAAAAATACAAGAAATACACCAAAACCAGGATTATCGATCGGAGCGCGCGATCTGCGCCCAACGTACGTCATGCGCCAGAGCGCGTATTGACGCTCTTCGCCACCGGTTGCGAAGTATGAAGCGGTTCGTTACGGGGAGCGGTTTCAGTGGGACAGAAAGCGACTTTTTCGTGTTGCATTCAAGCGAAACATTCTCTGTGCGGGAACTCCAGGTCGACTCATGATCAGCGGTGGAACTAACAATAAGGTTCCTGCAGCAAAAAATGTTTCGTTCTGCGAAACGCAAAAAAGTCGCTTTCTGCCTTAGCGAACCACATCCCGTGTTACGTGCAACCCAACTTAATTTGGAGCGGAAATTTGAACAAGTGTAGACGCGACGGTAGGCGCCTGCTCATATCCAGCACTGGTGAATCTTCAATGGATCGCACAGCCCAGCTCTCAACTAATATACCGAATATCGAAAGAGCTTGTATGCGATTAGACTTGAAAGGACCAAGAACGAGTCGAAATAGGAGCTCAACCTATCCGACAAAAACACTTTCTCACCTCTCCATTCATTGCTGTCCTTGTTGCCCAGAATTAGTCGATCCTTGTCCTTGTTGTTGTCCCTTCTTGCGTCGGCAGAATTTCTTGTGAGTAGCCCAGTGACCCTGCTGACATTCAACGCTACAGTATGCGGTGTTCCAACAGCAATGGTAGATCGCCTAAAAATCGAAATTCTTCCAAAGGCCGTTACGGTATTAACTTCGTCGTAGCAGAAATTACCTCGCTTTCACACTGCCAACACCACTGTTTTTTCTTTGCTGCTGTCAGCTCTCGTTTGTGCTTCTCAACCAATTTTGCAACTTCAAGTTTCAGTGATTCTCTGTATTTATCCTCAAGTTCCGCTCTAAAAAAGAAATAGGAGCCTTGGAAAAAGTAGCAGTTGATCCTACTGTAGTGTGAAGAGTATTTGGAAAGGAAAAGTTAAAATAAATGGCTACCTTGTGGTATCCAACTCGTCTTTGAACTGAGTCAGTAATTCCGTGCGAATCTTCTGCTGATCTGATAAGAATTCTTGATGGAGCTGAAACAAGGAAAGGATTGGGAATGGCAACGTGACACAGATTTGTAACCCTGAAACTGTTCTACAAGCCGGTATGTCAAACGAACCTTTTCAGTCATCTCAACCAGCAACTTTTCACGCGATTGCTGATAGTCAGTCAACCAGTGCCTTTGTAGGTCCATGATCATCCTTTTCATACGCTCATCCAAAACCCAGTTGTCTACCTGTAACTAATAATAAGCTAATGACGCTCGACGATTCGAGACCCATTCCTTTATACATTTGAAACCTCATTACGCGACTAGTCGCTTTTGATTCGATAGAAGCTGTTACGACTTTAATCGCTTTCAGTTCCTCAGGAAACAATTTTCAGTATAACTACTCGAGAAACTTCGTCAATTCATTATCATGCGCAACATGGGAGCAGATTCTATTCGTTTTATTCAATCTAATTAGGACAGTAATAGACCTACTGCCGAGACTAGCCGATGCGGGTTTAAAGCTTCATCGCAATTAAGTTAAGCTACGTGTGAATGAGCCGACTCTAGAGAGGGGAGGTAGAATCATCGCCTGTTTAAGTGCCCAATGGGGATACTACCATTCCAACAGGGGAAACGTCTAGTCATTGTAACTCGGTGTCAGCAACTGAGTAACATTTCAAGAGCTGATGTCTTTCTCGATCCACAAAAGCGTCATGAACTTTTACCCCTATGATACAGCAATACTGTAGATGTCGTCATTCTAGTAGCACATACGCAACACAAAGCCATTTAGCACCGAAGGTGTCTTAAAGGTCGGACTACGGTGGGCTACTCACCTTTCTGCAGCAAAATGAAA